TCTAATAGGTTAATTTGAAGGTCTGTTTCAATTAAATAAAAAAAAAAAAAAAAAAAAGTTTTTTGATGACATATGGTATTTGCTCTTCTGTGCCTGTATGCTAAAAGGCAAACAAACATAAATGATTTTTAATATGACCACACTGCTGGAAGGTGTGCAGAATTATGGTGTCTCTGAAGAGTGCATAGTCACAGTAGAACTTCTCTGAATTCACTAAAATAATTTTACCACATCTGGTGTATGTCTTTTATGCTGTGTTTTTGGAATAATAAGGTGTTCTTGATTGAAATGTCATGGACACACACATGCAATAAAGTGGATCTCTAAATATATTTGTAGAAATTGAATAGCTGCATATATACTACATAAGTCTTGTAACATCCTAACTTCTTGTTCAAGTAATCATGAACTCAGTATATATACATATATACATGTAAAAGCAGAGTTATTTAACCTTCTGTATGACATTTCTAGTATTCCCCTTTGCTCAGAATGGGGAAAAACAGAAATTCTTCTTGGAGCTGTTACTATTGAGAACAACAAATGTCAAGATTTTAGTGGCACTGTGCAATAGAATCTCCTAGTAAGAAGACAACAAAACATTATTTCGATGCCTGCTGAGCACTGTGGTGAAATACATTCTTTATACTTTTTTTATCTGCCTACCTTTTAATTCTGTGACATGCACAGAATCCAGAGCCTGTTCCAGTTATTTCATATTACATGGCTCTAAGAGAAGAGCAGTATTCCTAACAGTTGTCAGAGAATTTTCCTTCAGCACAAAATCAAACACAGAAAAGGGAAATGTTTTCTGCTGTACTTAGGAACTTCAGCATTTCATTGTTTAACACAGTCACATTGATCATTTACAGATTCCCAACTGTGATGCAAAGTAACTGTCACAGAATTCAAAAGTGCTTAAGATTTCTTTTACAATCAGAATTAATATATGTGAGCAGCATAATAAAAGTAACTGTTTTCTAGTATGGACATTGTATACTAGGAGCAAAAAGAAGAAACTTTTTGCACAAACAGATGTAGCATTACTTTGAATCCAGAAGGATCAAAATAATGTGTGTTTCTGTAAGAATGTACAGTATGTTACTGTAAAAATACTCCTCTGTATTTATACAGAAAGACTGAAAAAGTGAAAATGTCTAGTTAGTATTTATCTATTGTAGTCATCACTCTCCAGAGCATTTATTCTCAGACAGACTCCAAAATAAGGGCATTTGTCATTGTACTGCAAACATAAAGCTGCTTTGGATTTGACCAATTTCTAGTTCAGAGTGGGTTGTTTTTTTGCTTTTCCAGATGTATTCTATTGTTGAACAAGAGATAAATTAACTTCTAGGTGTTAAAGTAGGTGAAATTACCTTTATTTGTGTATATGAAAGGTGAAGTCAGATGAGCAGTTGAGTTTGGCTAAGTAAGAAGATCAGGTGAAAGCAGATTATTTAAGTTACAAATAAAAATTTTATATACATGTATTTATAAACCAAACCAAATTAGATGTACATAATGAACATAATTGTTAAACAGACTTCCACTGTTAATAGTGAACTGCTTTCCTTTACATTAGTTCCTGTTTAATTATTATTTTATGATCATGGTTGCTATTAACATCTGCATTAAACTTTATGCAGGAGTCAAATTTTAAATACCTGTTAAGGACGTGCAGATAATCCTGTTGTCTTCTCAGCTGTTTGTGGAATTCAAAATTTTAGTCTGTGAGACACCAAAATTCTACCTTCAATCTTAATTATAATCTCATTATCAATCTTAATTATTAATCTTAACATTTATATTTAACTGTTTTCTGATTATTTAAATAGAAATATAACTCTAGTTGGGTTTGTGTGATAATACAAAATACTGGAAGAAAATAACCTTTCTGACTTGAAGTTAATGTGATCTTTACAGTACAGCCCCATGGGAAGCTTTCAGACAACTCACTGGAACCAAGCAGACATTAAACAGGTGACCATTTTATTTTAGGGGGAAAAGTGAAATAAGGGAAAATGTTCTGAAATAGCATGGTTAGTTCTGCTGTTCTATACCTAGTACACTATTTATAATGTTGCAACAAAAATGGTTTGCTTATTTTCATCTTGAAACAAAATGTTTCCATGATGAGAGTGAAGAAACATGGTAAATTGAAGAAAAATACAAATTGTGTTAAGGTATTGAGAATGTATAAATGAGCATTAAAGAAGCATGTCCCAGGATCTTGAGATCTTCACTCCAAGTGGCAAAACACAGGACAAACTTGTCAGATCCATGACCTGTCTGCACATCTGTGTATATATGCATCAGTTACCACCAGTGAAAATCATGCAGGCAGAGCCTTGTTTCCACGTGAAACTTAATCAAGAAGTTCCCAGGAGCTTCGGGGCTACAAGTGTTGGGGTTGCTGAGGTTTGGAAATTTCCACTGAACTGTTTGCATTAAGGGCAGCAGCTGCAAAGAGTAAAGGCTGATCTGCTTTGTAATTTATTTTCTTGCACTAGAGAAGAGAAGCTCTGTACTTGTAATAGTCTACAAGACACAGGAACCAAAAATACCCAGAGGGTATAAATCACTGATAAGCAAATGCAGAAAAATCTCTCTTACAGATCAAATGACCAAAGACAAATTACTCTTTCCCACATAAGTTGTTATTAATGATACTCAGTCTGTCACAAAGCATGTGAAGGAAGTGACTTTATGAATATAATGGGAATGCTGCTGGTTTTACCTGTCATATTCAAGCTGCCATGGATCTACTTATTATGGTGTGATGTCAAAGCAATTGAGCCACCTCTCTCCTGATATTAAAGTAGATACTCTTATATGTCTATTACTTAGCAGAAAATGCTCTTTATACATTAAAATAATCTCTGTACTTATAATATTACCAAGATTTGATGTCAAATACTTCTTTCAGATTAGCTTATGGAACCTTTTCAGT